ATCACGGCTCACACTAGACGCGCCGCCATTGCGATTTCGAATCTCTGCTGGCCATGGCGACCGTAAGTAGACACTCGCTCGAGCGTTGTGGGTCTCGTTCGCCGCGAGAGTCGGTGCAGCCGGCCGTGCGTGGGAGGATCGTCGTCTGTCTAACCCTCTGTGTTCTCGGTCTCGTCTCTCTGTTTTCTCCCTGTCTCTCTCGGCCCTACTTCCCTCTCGCTGGCGTCTCGCTTTCTCTCTCTCTCTCATCTCATTCGTCTCATCTCTCGTCTCTCTCTCTCTCTGTCTCATTTCTCTCTCTCTCTCTCTTTCGCTCTCTCTTTCTCTTTCCCATCTCTCTCTTCCTTCTCTCTCTCTCCTCTTTATTTATCTAGCCTACCCTACCATGTCTCTCTACTTTCTCATTGACTTTAGAATTCCTTGATTTCTCATTGACTCTCGCGCAAAGTTACGACATAATACTTCCGAAACTTCATAATTTACAGCTAATATTTAATATACCCCTCTCCTCTTCTGGCTCGCCTTTACTCCGAATCATCCCCTCTTCCACCGATCCTCTCCCCTGCCTTCGTATCCCCTCTGCACTTCCGTCGTCGCTACAAAGATCCTGGCGTACTCTCGCCGCACATGTAGTTGACGCCAGAGATTTTCTCAGCACTCTCTTCTTTTTCTCAGTGGGCAAAAAAAGCGCAGGTGTTCACGCTAATGTCCATCATTAGGACCGTACATATAATCAATAGCATATAAACGAAGGAGAGCGTACAACGGTAAAATGCGGAACGCATGTGTGGCAGTATTAGTCGAATTACATAAACTTTCCGCCGTGTTATTTTGACGATTCTTGTACAGTCCTACCTTGTTGCACATAAAAACAAAACCGGCATGTCCCCTACGATGCAGCTATACGCTGAGATAATGAGCGCGGTGAAAACTGGGGAATTTATTAATTCGAACTAATACTGCAGCATGGTTTTATACATTTACCGTTGTACGCTCGTCCTTCTTGATATGGCTCTTGATATAATGGTGATCGAGAGGAGAGAGAGAGAGAGCGAAGAGAGAGAGAGCGAGAGAGAGAGCGAGAGAGAGAGAGAGGAGAGAGAAGAGAGAGGAGCCCCTTGCCGGGACTTTTGTATGCTGTATACCGCCTGTTGCTGGGCCAGACTTGGCGCGACGTCGCGCGCGTCTGTCACACGGTTTTGGAGCTTTAGCTGTGTACGGGGTTAACTACGAACGGTTTTCCGATGAAATGGACGCATCAGCCACGCAGCGGCAGTGGCACGCGCGGCACGCGACCGCACGCACGCGGGCAGAATGCCATCGCAGGGGATTAGCGTACAAATAGACGCTGTTTCATTATTAGAGAGGATTACAGAGCTAGGGTAGCGAGGTGTGTCACCAGAGACTAGCGAGAGAGAGGGGGAGAGAATACAGAGAGAAGGGCAAGAGAGAGAGCAGGAGAGAGAGAGAGAGAGAGGAGAGATGAGAGACGGAGAGACGAAGAGCAAGGGGCGAGAGAGAGACAATAAACGAGAGAGGGGGGAGGAGAAGAGCACCGAGCGTGGCGCGCGCGAGAGATACGACAGAGATAGATTAGAGAGAGAGAGACGAGTGGGAGAGAGAGAGAGAGATGAGCGAAAGAGAGAGAGAGAGAGAGGAAAAGAAGAGAGAGAGATAAGAGGAGAAAGAGAGAGAGAGAGAAGAGATGAGAGAGAGAGAGAAGAGGAGAGAGAGAGAGAGAGAGAGAGAGAGAGAGAGAGAGAGAGAGAGAGAGAGAGAGATCGTGTGCCCACCGGTTTGTCTGTGAGAGAGAGGTGAGATAGCGGGAGGTGAAACACATCTACAGCTGAAGCTGATTTCGCACACAATCTTATTCTTTATTCTGTTAGGAGTTCTTTCGTTGACGTGTACCTAGATACAGTTCTGAATAACACAGCCAAAGCATAGCACCGACTAGCCAGAAAACAACAGCGAGTTGTTTGTGCGTGTGTGATGCTACAAACTGATCGTCGGTAAAAAAACGTGTTTTTTTTTAAACAAAAATCATGCGGTCTGGATTACAGGGTTGTTTCTATTCGGCGTGCGCGTTCAATTGTTGACATACACGTGTAGTTCCGTTTTACGTATTGTAACCAATCATTTCTCTGTTGCTTTCACTTATGGGGTCGGTACAAACTAATAGTCTAATTCTACCGAATTTGGTACATTTTTGTCACATTTTAACCCAATTTAAAAACCTGTTGTTTGCTAGAACAAGGGTAATTAGTTAAAACTGTTAAATTATGTACGCCGGAGCGAAGAAATGTCATTAGCTGAATAGATTTCCACCTGTGGTGGTGGAAGCGAGGAGTAGGGGGGAGCATAGCAGGTCACTTTAATAAAAAGGTCGCAATTTTCATATAGATTTACTCTTTACGGCTTGCCACGTGACGAACAACCGGTAATGAACAAGCGACGCTAGTAAGCGCTGTGCTTTTGTTGCTATTCGATTGAAAAAGTTCGCGAACCGCGGTGAAAGAAACACGTAAATAATAGATATGTGACAGATGTTAGAATCAATGTTAGAGCGTAGAAAATGTACATGTAGATGTACACGTAAAGGTTACTGTAAAAATGTTTATGATCAGGGTGTTACACGAAAAGGTTACTGGGCAATGTTATACATGTACATGTGACAACGACAATGTAACTGTCAGTGTTATATGTGTAAATGTTACAGTGTAAATGTGCATGTAAATATGACAACGACAATGTAAATGTACATG